TCAAAAGCTCTCAAAGTGATGGAAATAGTGTGTGGTGGGATTGGAATATTGATGGACAATTTGAATATCATAAGCATTTACAAGACATAATGTAACTCTGACCCACTATGATTTTGCAGAGCAATATGTAACAATCCTCTACAAAATCCTCACCTTCATTTTTTAACAACCAAAATGGTGACTTAAAAAATAAATGGATAGAAATATGAATAAATTGTATTGTGTTAAAAATGTAGAGAGGTGAGACATCCATAATTAAACAATCTTTTTAATAGAAGAAAGTTGTTTATAAAAATAGTTATTTATAGACTGAAAATTGTTTGTTTCATATTAATTGACAATACCAAAGGAATACTTTTTATGATGACAATGGTATTTCATTGGTTCTGGTAGATGGAGAGCCTTCTTCTGTATTTAAGGAAAAAATACAGTGTTATTGAAAGCTATGTTCAGAACAGGACACAAACTACAGTATATACAGTACATTGATCTCATATATTTTTAACTGATATATTAATATGAAATATTCTATTACATTTTTCTAGATAACTTTACTAACCCTGGTTTGCACTCTGCTGACACTATAATTTGTGTTGTCTATGTGCACATAAATGGTTTAGATCAGGGATTTTCAAACATTTTCCATGCTATGAAATATATATATTAAAAAAAGTCCTGGAATCCCAGTCAAGAGCCAGAGCTCTTAAGTGATGGGGAAATGGCAGTGTTTAAATTACTTTTGTGTGCGGAGGTATAATCTCTCGTAGTAGCCCATCAACTTTTCACAGAACCATAGAGTTGCACAAAGCACAGTTTGGAAAACTGGCTTAGAGAATTGGAATCCATTGTAGATTTCCTATCACTGATGTATAAATACTATTAAAAATATTACTATAGAAAACTAAAACATCTACCAAATAATGTTTTACTAACAAAAAAATTACTACTAAGAAGATCTTGATTACTAAAATAAGTCTATTATCTTTTACTAAAATGGCCAGAGTCTTTTCTTTATTTATCAGCAAGTTGAATGTTTTACCAGGTGATGTGGACAGATTTGCCTTGTCAGAATTTCCACCTTCTTATATGCTGTGCTATTCTGGAATCTGAAAAACAACAAATAATGGAGAAACATTATGGCTTTAATGAAATACTCAAGGTATCTATTACATTGAATTAAATTGAGACTATTTTTCTACCCTTTCTGTTTTGGATTTAAAAAATGAATTCCATTTCATCCTAGAATAAGAAGTGAGAGAGGATTAATGAATGTAAGTAGTCAGCCATAGTTATTCTTTGATGAAAGATGCTCAATGTTGAATTAACAGATACCAAAATTATCAAAAGAAATATTATAAATCATATTATTCATGTACAGAATGATGGTTATTTGTTTTATAAAGCATGTAGTAGAGTTTTTTTTTATTGTTCTGAAGCAACCACAAAAGCTTCTTATGTGCATTACTCTAGGATAGAGGTGTCAGGGTGAAATAGGAAGTTCTTGCTTGAGTAAAGTTAAGCTATGGAAGATAAAGTTACCCATGGTTATAATACAAACAAAACACTCAAAGTCTATTCCAGTGTATTAGTTCACAGAAAAATGGCAATCCATATATTGTCCAATCTCAGTATGCAGTTAATTGGTGGTGGCAGCTGTTGGCTGTGGCCTAGCAAAAAGAACTGACCAGCTTAAAACAACCTTGTCAAGAATTTTAAATCCAATCAGGGTGTATACTTTATGTACCATATTTTATCCAAAATATATCTCTGAATTTAGATTGTATATTTCCAATTAAAAGTAAAATTTGGATAAATAATAAGAATACCACATTATTCTCAGTGTATCTAAAATCCTCAGTGTATCTAAAATGTTCCTTCAGTTTTAAAAGTAAATTATTCTAATGGTGAACTTTTAATAAAAGATGCTAAAGAAGGTATTAATATTCTGAAACTTAGATATAAATTTGAGACTGACCTTTTTTGCTTTATTTTATATTAGCATATCAATGAATTGTCTATGAAAATGGATGTGGATGATGTACTTTGCAAAGCAGAAGCTGTTTCTATGCAGATGATGAATTGCAAGGTAAAAAATGAAATGCATTTTATAAGCATTCTATGAAGAAATCATGGGTTGTTCCAACTGATCCTTCAAAAGGTGGACAACATTTTTTGAAAGTATAGAAGGAAGAAATAATCAGTTTAAAAATGTGAAAAATAAAATTAAACAAATAAATAATTTTTACTTTCAGATTTTACATTTCCTCTGTTAGAAAAATGTAATGGGGTGTGGAATTCCTTGAGATTGAACATTTTCCCCTCCTTTTTTCTTTAACATCAAGGTTGTATGCACACCTGAGACAAGATTAAAGAAAAGCAGTAAGCCATATTAATGTGCAGCATTTCTTCGGAAAATAATAAGTTCTGTTGCAGTATTGTAACTCCTGGCTATTGTATTTTGTTGCTTGTTTAGAGCTAATTACTACTCACTTTTTCCTATCAAATGACAAGTTGTATGATTCAATACTTCATATACCTACATTTAAAAGTCATGTTTATTTCATTTAATTTAGTTCTGCATTAGGAAATCAGGTATCTGTGGCTGAGATATAGTTTCAAAGCAGGGTATAATTCGAGAGGAATAACATCCCAACAATCAAAAATAACTTTTGTCTTTTTTTTCCTTCAAAGGAATTACCTCAAGCAATTTGTGAAATTTTGGGATTAGAAAATAGTGCTATGATAACACCAGATTCAGATGCTGGGGAAGATGAGGCTGTTGATGGGATGAGTTGCCTTGCATCAGCATCTCCAAATGTTTCTTTGCTTGCTGCTGCCGACAAAAGGAATGAAAGAATTCAACAAGTGATACACACAGACTCTACAAACTAATGCTTGTGTAATTGATTTTATTGTTCAACAGGCAGTTTATTACAACTGTTTTGTTTCAGGCACTTGGGTTGATATTTTGAGTTTGTGTTAATTAAGCTTTAATGAATTGGGAAAGAAATCATGTACTGTAATACTTCTACATCAAAGCTTTACATGACATTATTTTTATAGTTTCTTCTACCAAAATAGCCTTCCGTTTTTCCAGTAACATTCCTTAATACATTTGTATAAAAGTGCATTTTTTTGTCTTCAGTGAAATGAGAATCAGGCAGTGTAAATGACATGAAATAAAGGGATCTATTCCTTGTACTTTGAAAACACCTGGGCATGGTTAGTTTTTGGATATCATTGAAGTGTTATAACTCTTCTATACTATTTCCAAGTTAAAGATGGCAACTTCCATAACACACTTTGTAAATGAAAGGATTGTGTTCTTTTTCTAATGTTTACAAAAACGCTAAGTATTTGTGTGGACTGAATGTAGATTTGGAATGAAAATTTCCATTTGTGAAGTCCCTGATCCTTAATTTTTGCATAACCCAGGAAGGCATTTTTACACCTTTCCTATACATACATACTTATACATTCAGATGTATGAATATTAAAGGATAACTCTATTTTTGACTAAAACAACCTTTTGGTAATTTAGGCAATTTTGTCCAAATTTTAATATACAGTTCAAGCCTAACTATTTTTGAAAATCGTTTTTTTAAATAAGGATAAATGTCTGAATATATTCAGGTTCTCAATATTCTTAGCAAGGTTTTCTTGCTCATTTAATTAATAATGTTTATCTTTGTTTAATAGTAGTATTACTGTTTAATAATAACCAATCTAAATTGCCTTTATATTAGACTAAACATTTTGAAAACAGATAAAAATAAATATGACATTTTAATTTCCTTCCTTTGCTTCTGCCTAAACTCCCTTTGGTGACACAACAAAAACTGGAGTTTCCTAGGGTGGACTGTTGATGTTTTACAGTAATGTGAAATACAATTTCATGTATTTTTTCTATTTGAAGAGTATTGTACATATTATGAAATAAAATTCAAAGTTTACTTAAAGATTTTTAATTAAGACATACTTAGGGGAAAACTGAGGAAAGAGTTCCTAAATTTCAAATGTTTGATGAGAAGTATTCAGTTCTTTTATGGCATAACACTTTGGTTATAAAATATGAGAATATAGGCTAGCAATGGAAGAAATTAAATTCCTTGTCCTATAGGCATCAGTGGGGTTGTATTCATAAATAAGCAGTTGAATTTTGGTTTTCTGATGATAAGCTTGAAAAGACAAATGTGACCCTCATGACATTTGTCAGGATCTAGAAATCCCCTTTTCATAATGACACCCTAATCCATGTTTTGTCAATAGAAAAGCTGGCTTGCTTTTTCCAATATAATTAAAGGTAGGTGGGTAGCTGTAGGAAAAAGAAAAGGAAATATTAAGTCATTCCCAATTATTTAGCAAATACAATCTATCTCCACAAAGGATTCAATTTCTTGTATATACATTCTGAAAAAGAACTTAACAGAGAGTGAAGAAATATGCCCATGCTTTTAGTTGCTCAAAAGATAAAGCAAATTGTTGTGAGAGAACTGATGAAATGGCAAGTTATTAACACAGATATCGGAAGGTGAGATCTCTGTAGTTCTTGGCTTTAATTCATTTGGGATACTTATCTTTTATCAGTTAATAACAAAATACCCCATTTGGCAAATGGCAAGAAAGCAAGACCCAGCATCTCTAGGCTTTCATTTCCTTCTTACAGGAAATAATTTTTGGATTATCTTGCCCCTTTTGTTCTCTCATAGAACTTTGGCTTTTACATTATCATGTTAATACAATTGCGGGATATATATTTTTTCTGTGCTGTCTGTTGGCATGATTCCAAAATGAACACAAAGCTAACATGGAATAATTCTCCCCTCCTTCTCATACACACACACACACACAATTCAACATGGCAGAAATCTGGAAAGCATAATTAGGATATTTATGCACATAGTGGGACTTCTGATTTTTTCTTTTTTACTTATCTTACATGACAACTTCATTATCAAAACAATGTTGAATGTCGTCATAAAAATAGTCAAACTGATTTTGTGTTGAAAACAACCGAATAATTGTAGCACAATAGCCCCAGTGATAATACTTATTTAAAAAATATATGACATGCGTAAAGCCTGTCTACCTTAAGATAGCCAGATAGAATCAGAAGAGACTCTTTAAGGAAGGTATTCCCATCATTTACAGTAGATGCAACCACATGCATCCTGCTGCAACCAAATTAGCTCTTCAATAGATATAGGAGGGGGAATTTATAAGAACTGATCATTATAGTACATGTCCTGTATTGAATTGCTACTGAGTTCTAGAAACCTACATTTAAGTCTACTGAAATCATGTGCCAAAGTTCTTGGGAATTTAACCTCACCTGTATTTGGCTAAAGAACACATCCATGACTCTAAGCAGAATTGTGTAATTGGATTCTTATTTCCTGGGATACAGTAGTTTAACATAGTATTGGATAATACAACTATGATATTTAAATATTTGCAGAGTCTCTACACTAGAATTTATGCACTAGGTAAAATTTATTTTTATATATGATACTTCACCAATACGTAACAGAAGGATGCCTTTGGTCTAATGTCCTCATTTCTATATTCAAAGTAGGTAAATGAGGAATGGTAAATCAATCAAACAACTTTATAATACTTTTAATCCTGTAATCACACACTCATTTGATTATAGTGTGAAGGGTTCTGACAATATTAAAACACCCCTGGGAAAAGTACCAATTTCTCTTCATTCTTTTAAAAAATGTAATCTTTACTCAAGTGACACGTAAAATGCATTTCTTGTTAACTGAAATATCAAGCTGCCCATCTTACTTTGAGTAACCATCTTCGTAATGGAATGCCATGCAAGTGTTCAAATGGCTCTCTGTAAAGAACTGCTAAACGTTTTCTGAAGTCTACTGATAAAAGTATAGTACTTTTAAAAATAGTACAACTCAAAGGAAACAAACAAAGTGCTAGTTGTTGTACGGGAAGACAAGAGGAGTCAAGAAAGAAGGGTGTTTCTCTGCTACTTTCATGTGACGATCTTCATCAGTCTTTCATCAGTTCTTCAAGAGGCGTATATAAACTCTTGCTGGGGGAGGTGAGAGGCACTTGAAGCGTTTCTTGTTCAGCCTCAGAGTGCTGAACAGCTGGACAGCTCCCTGCGGGCAGCATTGCAAGCCTGTTTCCTTCTGCTCTGAACAGGGAAAACAGTACAGTTCCCACCATGCAGCCAGCAATGATGATGTTTTCCAGCAAATACTGGGCGCGACGGGGCCTTTCACTGGACTCAGCTGTGCCTCAAGAGTATCCATTACCCAGGAATGTAACTGTAAGTATCAAGCATTTAAAGATACCAAACCATTATCTTGTCAGATTGTTTCAGAAATGTTCAGGCATTTCCAGATGACTTCTTTGGGGCCTTTTTACTGAACAAATTTATTTCTTTGCTTGTTCAGAAAAAGCTTAGGCATCACCCCTTTCTCTCTGCAACACAACTGTCTCAGTACAAATTATCAAGTTTTTTTTTATAGAAGACATTTTTTGAGACAAAACTTCAATTGATTGTATCGTTCACTTTTGTGACAGATGTTCCTAACAGTGGAATTAATCCAGTCTTTGTGTTGAAGACTTACTTTCTCTGCCTTGAATTTTTTTTAAGTGCAAATTTTCTAGCCGCTTACAGCAGCTTATATATATATATAAGTACATTTGGATTAATAAGATTTTCTTCCAGGGAAAGCTGTTGAATTTAATTATGATTAAAAATAATGATTGAATGCATTGCTGAAATCATGAAATACAGTGGATGGCAGTCATTGTGGCTGTCATTTAAAACGAAAGCAGAAGGATGTAATATTTCAAACTGTAAATATATAGTATACTACTATTACTACAACTAACATTAATAATTAGATATAAATAATGTTATATTTGGCCCTCTATTAAAAAGATAATAAAACTTCTTGAAAATGCAATCATACTTCTTTGGGCAGACAAACAGAAGAAACAAAAAATGTACATTACTGTTAAAGACAGCATTTGTTACAATATGTTAAAACGTTTAACCTAAATAAATATTACAATTCTACACATTTTACAGTGATTTCTCAAACAATTTAAGATTAAGAAGTTGTATCTTGCTCACTGATGGTGTTATTATCACAAAGTTATTTCTCTGAATGTGTTTATACTTACATCCATATCTATTTATACATATATCCATTTCTGTCTGTCTCCAGGATGGTCATGATGATGATAATGATGATGGTGGTGATGATGTTTCCTAGAGCACTATTGGGGGCTGTTTTCAACTTAAAAATCCATAACTATATTGTGGTTCTGATTATGTTTCTTTCTCAAACTGGCTGGCTGTATTGTAATATAATGGGCTTATACTTCTGCATATAATGCCTCATATTGTACACAACTATATGTATCTTATCACATTCAATCTCTGATCGCAATTTGTTTGAGATATCCACCTTTTAGCTTCTCTCAGAAGGTACTTCATTTTCATAAAAACTAAAAGTGCTACATCATTTTTTATTTGTGTTAAGGTAGGCAATGTTTGAGACACTGTCCTTAGATTTTTTTTTTTTACAAAAATCACTAAAAATACACTATAAATGTGTATTTATAACATTTTAGTAGGGTTTTAAAAATATTCTATACCTGTATCACTTAGTTGTAATGAGTTTTTTTTTAAGCCAAGTGTGGTTTTCTTAAGCCAAGTCTAATGCATTAGTTCAATTGGTAATTTAACAGCAATTACTTTGTATAAAAAACTTGTAAATGTATCTAAGAATACAGGTTGTTGTGAACAAACACCATATCTAAGTTGCATGTTTTACTAGGTAAGATCCATACTGCTAATTTCTATTGATCTTCATGTTTTTTGGCGGGAAAAAGTAATTATCACAATTCTAAATGTTGTTTGAAATGTGGTAGGAAAAAATTAAACAGGAATTATATTTAGGAATAATCAAAATATGAACATAAATATTTTGGGAAGTTATCAGTGTAGATTAATTTGCTCCTCAAGCAAAATAAGTTACTGGTTATTTTTTATTTAATTGTAGCACAAATGGATAGACTTGGTAAATTGATGGAAGTTGGCCTGTTCACTTAGGAATCCTTCAAATTACATGGATGATTATTTTCCGTTTGGAGGATTACATGCAAACCATATGAGAATGGAAACATTTCATTTAGCTTCATACACAGCACAGCATCTGTTTGGGTGGCACAATTGGACACCATTTCTCAAATGGTATACCTTTTATTCATATAAAAAAACAAAAAAAATGGTTGTCATGACAACTTGCAAATCCTTTGCAAGTTATGTATATCAAACAAATATATTTTGGGGGATTGTTTATTATTTTTTCAGGGAATAGATTTTTTTTAAGTTATAGTCAAAGACCTGAAAATCTCAATAAAAGATTTTGTTTGTATTGTTTTACTAACAATAAAATAGATTTTATTTAATCTTTAAATAAAGATCAAAATGATTGCAAAATGCTAGAACTAAGATAAAAGAGTTCAGTTTGATAAACTCTACATGCAGTAAAAGAAATTTTTGCAACACTGACAGAGATTATATCATTTTGGTCAAATGACAGTAAACTTAATCTGAGTGGCTATAACAATCGCAATCCATTCAAAGCATTTGCCACAGCTTATGTGTCCTTAAGAATGCTTTGCTTTATCTTTCATGCTAACTATACTTCAGCAACAATGAGGAATGGCTTTCAGTAGATTTTTAAATCTCCTTCCTACATTAGCTGTCTCATATGATTAAGGGAATTCATTGATGTTAATGGAAATAGCTCTAATGAATATCCTCATGTCAAAGGATACTAAATTCTTATCAACCAGAACTGAAGAATGCTAATTCAAGACATACTGCCTCTTCACATTGTTGATGCCCATTGAAATATATGGACATATATGGCTTGCTTCTTGCAAGTTTACTGAGGAATAAAATAGATATGAATGAGAAAGGAGATTGTATTGAAGAAATCAAGAAAGGAATGGTAGAAGGGAAGTTAAAGAAGAATATTGGCATGCACTTTACAAAGCAGCAAATCTAGTTTTATTGCTCAGCATTAAGTTGAAAAGGAGCCTAATAATTACAGACCCCTTAAAAAGGATATCTATATAATAATAATTCTTTTTAGCAGAAAAAATAGATCTACACATGTTTAACTCTAATCCCAGTAAAAAATATTCAGATGATGTGACAAAGATCTTAATATTCCCTGTGATAATCTATGAGAATAAAAGTTGGATTTTAAAGAAGGAGGATAGGAAGAGCACTGACACTTTTGAACTTTGGTGTTAAAGAAGACATATGAGAATACCATAGACAGCCAAGAAAACAAACAAAGAGTCATTAAACAAATCAATCCAGAGTTCAAATGATGAGGCTCAAGTAATCTTACTTTGACACATTATGTGAAGACCTAGCTGTCTGGAAAAGGCTCTAATGCTAGGAAAACTGGAAGGGAAGAAGAAAAAAAGGATGATCACCTGCAAGGTGAATGGATTCAATTACAGTATTGATGAGTGCAGCATGGGGAAAGATCATAAGGGAGAAAATCTATGGATTATTTGGAGTTACTTCAACAATCAATCAATCAATCAATCAATCAATCCATCAACCAATTCTAATTTAGTTGCATTTTTATCTATCCCACTTCAAATGAATGCATATTCATAATTCAAAATTAAGCTTCCCAAGAAAAACGCAAAGATAGGATGGCCTACCATTCTCAAAATACTTTAGAAGTAGTTGTATCCTTATAGCAGAAGTATCCAAATCAGTTTATTACAGCCATATGGCCAGAAACAGTAAAATATCCAATTGTAGGCTACTTACATACATATATAAAAATGCACTGAGCATGATCTAATGATGAATAAGAACACTTGTAATAAAATTAAGAAATTATTACAAAAGAACTAAAAATAATATTTTCAAATATATTTATCTTATTTATATTTCTGACAAATCCCCAGTGCTGCTGTGCAGAATCTAGCCACCTGCTCAGTAATGACAGCCTGTTTGTCCTTAAGCAGCCACTGGAGATAAGTAGTGTCAGAACGGCCAGGATACCTATCGATTATTGGGAGGATATGGTTTTTTCTAATATCTCTATAGAAAGAACATCGAAGGAGTATGTGTCCAACAGTCTGAGCCACAGGAGCAGAGTCTTTCAGTCAATGGTATCTTTTTATACTTGCCTTACAAGACGGCCGATGGGAGCGCATGGCACTGTGAGAGCGAAAATGCTTTCCAGTGGTTTGCTGACTCTAACTGGCTAAGATAACTAGCAGGAGTAACAACATACCTAATAGGGTCTGGAGCCAGAAACAGCAGAGCTATCCCTAAGTCCGTTTGCCTCTCGATGTCCTCTACCCTTTGTTGCAAGGTTTGTTTTGCTTGAGGCTGGAGAGAAGCCTAGTTTGGCAAGGTTGGACATGATGAGGAAATTTGTCTTGGTGGATTAATGGAGCAAGGCCTTGTGGAAAGAAATTAAGCTTTAGCCAGATATTTAAGGAAGCTATACAGATTCTTGCTTCGACTTTTATCAATCCTGTCTCCAGGCGCAGAAGTGTATTTGAGACACAATGCTACATCTGGAGAATTGCTCTAATAAACTTGGATTGAACTCTTCCCAATGGTGTGAAGCACAAAGCTGAGAATCCGAGCAAGAGAGTCCTGTAGAGAAGCTATGCTAGCGACTTGGCCAGAAAGAGCTTAATTGTGGCTGGAACATAGTGTCCTCCCTTTGTGCGGAAAAAATTGAGGATGGTGTTTGCTGATCTTTGGTCAGAGGCAGCTGCATATTCTCCATGGGCTTTTCTTGAGCCAGTGGCATGGATGACCACCCCTAGATACTTAAAGGTGGTTACCTGCTCTATATTATGACCATTAAGATACCATGAGTAGAGTTTTGGCCTTTTTGCAAAAGCCATAACATTGGTTTTCTTGTAATTTATGTCCAGTTTATCGTAATTCCAATACTGGATGAGGACTCACAAGGCTCTTTTAAGGCCTACTGGTGTCCTGGAGAGGATCACAGAGTCATCTGCATAGAGCAGTAGGGCGATGCTTCAGTCACCTATTTTTTTGGGGTGGTAGTTTGGTTTATTTATTTATATTGCAGAAGTATGCAAGCTTCGTTTTGCCAAGGGCCATATTAGAATTCTAAATATTACAATACCTAGACTGGGAGTAACATTCCTCAAAGTGATAGGGGCAGAATAACAACTTTGATTTTAAGTAATCTATGCTTAAATTATACTTATCAAGTTAATGTTTTTTATGTATTTAATTTAAAAATTATATCATTCTTTCCCAGTAGAAAATTTGTGATAAACATGGAGGAGGCTCTGGAGACATCATCCACTGCTTTGTGGGTAGAACAAATTTTGAATGTCCAAGTTATATATCCTAATTAACCATGTGATTGGAAGTAAACAGCATGACTCTTTGTTAGATTTTTTGTTTGTTTTGTTTGTAGGGAGAGTTCCCCCTCCACCCCAAAAAGATTGAAACCCTTGTATGTTGGAAATATTCATAGTTTATTCAATCTTTGCAGTCATAAATAATGACTGATATGAACGATTAAAACAGGATAAGAGTTACCATTGGTCCACAATCCAAGATCCAGGTGTAGATGTATAATATTAACGTTCTGTAAGTTTCATTGATTCCCCATTTGGCTCCAGATTAAAATAAAGATACTTGTTCATGTCTTTAATAGCTTTGTAGATAATGTTTCCTTATGCAGAAAAGAGTAGCTGCCCCCACATACATTCATTCATTCATTCATTCATTCATTCATTCATTCATTCATTCATTCATTCATTCATACAACATCATAACATTGTTAGCTTCTGTGGTTATAGCCTGTATGTTTAATTTGTAGCGTGCCCATTGAATAGGTAATTATAAATATAATAAACACTATATCTTATTATAATCAGTTTCATAATAAGTGAGACTAAATATTCTATTCTTTCCTCTCCCGCCAATAATTTTAGTTCTTTGGGTGGATTATAAAGATAAAAACATTAAAAATGGAAGAACTGTAAACAAGAGAAACCATAAACATTTTCATAATATATTATAAAATATATAAATATATAAAGTATGAACATTTTGAATAAAAATCTACTTCTAAAAGCACATTTAAAAAAAATCAGAAAAGTATATTTGGCCATTTAAGTAAACACCATATTACCAACCTTGTTTCAATTCTTTTTCTCCAGCTAATAAATGTTAAATAAATTCTTATGATATCATTTGTTTAACTGTTATTTATATCTGAGTATTCTAAATTCCTGCTAAAGGTGGGCAATCCTGAAAGGAAACTAAACCATTCAACCATGTGATGAAAGAATTCCTTAATTAAAGAAAGTTAATTGTTTTTTAATTAAAGTAGCATAAGGGCATTAAATGTTGATGAAAATTATGAACAACAATTTTTCATCGCTTTGAGATAGGGAATGTGTTGATTTTTTCAAGGAATTATGTTTCTATGAGAAATTTCACTTTGAAGAATGTCTGTGGAGATTCTCAGTCATCCAGGTCATAGTTGTTTCAAAGGTGCTTTTTCAAAGGCAACTGGACTGTTTTTTTCCTAAGGAAGAAGAAGATATTTCATTTCTCATCCAAGAAGCTTCATCAGTTCTGGCAGAATGATGGAGGCAATGGAAGGATTAGTTCTGACAGGATGGGGGTGGTGGTGGAAGGATGATATTTCTTTGCAGTTATCTAATCGTTAGCACTCTCCCTGAGAGCTCTTGAGGCCACTTGGGGGTTTATCTGTGCCCTCAGGATCATCTGTATCAGAGTGCAAATGGGGGTGCAATCTTCTTGGAACTGCTGCAAGGGCTGCATTGTAGACAGGAGATAGGTGGTGTCGTATCCCTCCCCCTTTGTTGAGAGAAGGCTGCTCAGTGTTAACATTAATGGCCTCTCTTAACAGAGGTCATTTATGTTAACATTGGGCAGCCATCTCTCAACAGAAAACCCCCCAAGTGGCCTCAAGACCTCAAGAGAGTGCTAATGACCAGATGACTGCCAAAAAAATCCTCCCACTCCCCTCCCATCCTGTCAGAACTAATCCTTCCATCGCCCCACTATCCTGCCAGAACTGTTGAAGCTTCTTGGATGAGAAGTGAAACATCTTCTTCCTTAGGGAAAAACAGTCCAGTTGCCTTTTGAAAAAGCACCATTGAGTTCACTTTGAAGAGTTGTTCTTCCAAGTTTTCATCCTATATAAGAAAGATGCTTCAAGCCTGTTTTGCACTGAGCGTGCAAGTATGAGTTGATATTTCAAAAACATGTACAACTAATCCTTGAGTGATGACTGTAATGGAGTCTGCCCATTATGATTCTAAGCTGTAATGGTCATAAAATGGGTCTGTCAAGCGATTGACCCAATTTTATTTTTTTGTGGCAGCCAATATCCACATTGAAGAAATCACCCTAACCAAGGACAATATTTTAAAAACAGTCCTTTCATTTTATTTATCAAAGCTTAGGAGGCTTTCTCTGTTTTTCCCCACAACCAATACATGCTTTAAATTGTTGCTCAGCAAAACCATACATTTCAGCCTTCACCCAGCCCTATTGTAGATCCACTGGAATGAGAAATTCAGTTGCAAGCAAAAATTAACAAATCTTTCCAAGACAATAAAGAGAAAGTGCAAGTTATATTTTCTATCAATTGCTTCTTTTATAATTTGAAAATTATGCTCTTTGACTCTTTCTCTGATATTCAAAGGCACTTGTGATGGAAAAGGGATGTGATGTTCTGCCTGTGATACATGTTTGAATTTATAATATAGACTTCAGAATCCATAATTGTTTTCCAAAAACTTGGGAAGTTTTATTTTCAATAGGAAGCAGAACATTAGTTTTTAAAATAAAGATTATAACAGCTTTCATTCCACAATGCTCTTTTGTTGATTTCTTTTAGAATAATATTTCATATATGTTAGCAACCTATAATTGCTAACAACCAGTAAGAGCCCTAAACGTGCTTATTAAGAAAGAGAGAAAAAAAACCTAAGCAAAACTTCACTTTTGAAAGAACTATATAAATTCTAAGATCAAATAAAAAGAAAGGTTAATTATTGTTGAGGGGTACATGGAAATGCTTGTGATCTGTATTTTCTTTCAGCTAAGCAAAACAAATTCTGGTAGAATTGATGATAAAAGGGCTAATAAAGGTACAAGCAAGAATGAGTCAACATCAGAAGGTGGTAAAACGGCTGTGGTGTTTTCTTTAAAAAATGAAGTTGGTGGCTTGGTAAAAGCTCTCAGACTTTTCCAGGTAAAAATTATATTATTATTTATTTTCATAATAATATATTGATTGAAAAATGTGCATCATGTTTGTATAAAAGATAATATGCATGTTATGTCTACTAAATTACAAGACACTAGATTCACTTACCAGATCAGTTCATTGCTTAGTGAGTAAGTTAGCTGAGTTCAGACATTGTGCTTGGCCATATCCATGATTTATTATCCAAAATGGCTTGGTTTGCACAAAATGAACAATTAAAGTCAAGCAAACCACATTACAGCATAAAGTGAAGCTAATCATTTTATGGTATATTAACTGCTAATCAGAATCTTGCTTCTGACATGCTAGAAGTAATTGTTTATTATTAGTTGGCTTAGTCTATACTTTCAGTTTTCTGAAATAATATATTTCAATCTTAATAATAGTTTTGGAATTATTAATATCCTTGATACCTAGATTGGTAGCAACAGCTAGAAATATTTTCTGTTAGCTCCAACTCCAGCTAACAGACCTACTTAGAACATTCAGTCCTGTCTTCCTCCATTCTTGCTTTAGTTACACTTGTTTCAATTACTGCAATTTGCTTTATATCACATGAAGATAAATTTCAGAAGTTGGAATATTTTAAGATTAGCTCTTATGTATTTAACTTTATTGCCTAATTATTTATTTCTGCAGTCGGTTTAAAAAACTGGCTTAATCATTTTAAACAATCATTAGTACCCTGAAGTCTACATCAAATGCCATACCTAAATGTAAATTTCTCTGGAATAAGTTCAAGGAATTCATAATTGCAATTTAGGGTTGCCAGCTCCTCTATTTGATTTGCAAGGGCTGTTTTAAAAAACATTAGGCCTTGACGAAGTTATAAATCTAGCCAGTGTTATGCATCTGAGCTATCCTGCTATATATTGTAACGTTTTACTAAAGTAAAGTATTACTAAAGTATTTCAGTATTTAGATAATGAAAAGTAGTAAATCTTGTGTTGATGGGGATTTCTATGCTGTGGAATTTTTATTATGCATTTGGCTTTCTGCTTTAGGAAGGTTAACTTATAGATGACAGAACAATGCTAGTGTATTACCAAACTATTTCATTTTTTTCTATTATGCTTCTCATAAATTTGGTATGGAACTAGTAGCATCTCTAGTATATATAAATGATGGTTTTATATGAAATTGCCATGGTAAATCAATATTAAATTTTAATTATCCAAAGGTATTTATAGTTTTTACCATGGAGGTTTATAATAAAAGAGTGAATACAATCATAATTTTACAGTAGTTTATTTCTGGCTAATGCACAAATAATTAATTTCTTTTAATGTAAATACTTGAATATCTATTCTAAACTACCACCTGTTAAGACTGAGGCATTTAATTACTGCTTTTCCATTTGCACTGGGTTAACTCTTTTTTGCATCTATTTTCAGGAGAAGCATGTGAGTATGGTTCATATTGAATCCAGAAAATCGAAGCGAAGGAATTCAGAGGTAGAAATTTTTGTGGATTGCGACTGCACCAAGAAAGAATTCAATGAGCTCATTCAGCTGTTAAAGTATGAAACAAACATTGTGACTCTGAATCCCCCAGAAAACATCTGGACTGATGAGGAAGGCAAGACTATTGTTTTTTCCCCCTCGTCTGTTTTCTCTCATTTTATTATGAAATCAGCCCAATTGTATGAAGACGCAGAGAAAGAATGCCTGATTCCATCCCATCTCTTTTTTTTCCAGAGCTGGACTGTGTGCCTTGGTTTCCCCGGAAGATTGCTGAATTAGATAAATGTTCGCAGAGAGTTCTCATGTATGGCTCCGAACTGGATGCAGATCACCCTGTAAGTGTTTAGGGAAGATCCAGAGAGACTGACCAAATAATCTATTAATAATATAGCACATAATTTAAATGAATGAATGAAATGCATTATCTATCTTAAGCTATTTTGGTCCAATCTATTTCTTAAACACAGATCTCACATTTTAATTGGTCTTCAGATGTATTTCTGTTTTAGGAGCTGCTACCAGGAACATTCATATATCAGATTTAGATGGGTTTGTGGATTGCAGTTTCTGTTTCAGAAGTACACTGGAGAACTTTGAGAGGCAATTTTCATCTCTCTCCCTTGCAAACAATGCAAGAGTTATAGTTCTAAATCATAGTGATATTCACGTACAGTGCTGTATGAGCTTTTAAAACATATAGATATTAAATTAACATTCCAGGGAGTGTGGGAGGCATGCTAACACTCCAGGAGATAATTATAAAGTAGAAATCATAGCATACTTCAGCAGGAATGCAGCTGGAACATAGGGTCCTTGTGTTTTTACCTCCTTATTTTTAATACATAGGCCCCATTTCAGCCCATATTTCACTGTCTGCAGCCCCACATAGTGCCTGAAACCATTGCATCCAAAATTTGAGGAAATTAATTTATTGATACCGTTTGTATTGCTTTCATTCTTTCCTTTGCTCACTCCTCTCAGATTAAAGTCAGCTTTTACTACATCTTGTAACTCCTAAATCATCCAATAGTAGAGATATAATGCTGTATATTATGTAAAGCACACAGGAACTTACTCTGCAACTATCACTACCCCTACCCTCATTCCCTTTTCTTTATGGGATTATGCTAGAGGTGAGAGTAGGACTTTCATTCCAATACATAGGCATTTAGTAGTATTTTGGAAATTTGAGGAAGGTGTGTCATATTTTCTCTGGGAACTTCTCCTGCTATCACAATCATCCAGACCACGGTTGTCCAAAGGTGCTTTTTCCAAATGGCAAGTGGACTTTCTTCGGGGGTTTTCCCTTGAAAATGTTTCACTTCTCATCCAAGAAGTTTCTTTAGTTCTTAGTTTTTAGAACTGAAGAAGCTTCTTGGATGGGAAGTGAAATGTTTTCAAGGAAAAAACCAAGAATGTCCAGTTGCCTTTTTGGAAAAAGTCATGGGAATTTGTGCCCATGACCGATCATTTCCTTCAGGGAACTTTGGGATGTTTTATGCAGTATGACTACAATACTTTGGATTCTGTTATCCCAAAGGTGTTTTTCGGAAGGCAACTGGGCTTCCTTGAAGCCCAATCAAATATTTAATGCTCTGGAACCCAAGCTCAATGGTTTATACACCTCAGCATTGTTTTCTGAGGATAAGACCTCTAAAAGGCCTGGCCTTTTTTTAATGAAATAAAGTAAGATGCANATTCACAGAAGTGGAGGCAACGACTGGCTTTGTTCCCAAAAACAAAGGGAACAAAGGCACTTGGGAGACGGAGATTTCCCGGACTCCGGAGGAGTACCCAATTTCGCTCTCCCGAGATAAAGGGAGAGCCTTTGGGACTCTACTCCTATCCAGGAGTACTCACCTCGACCCCTTCTCCCGGGGCACAAGGTTCCAAGCCTCTGAACAGCTGCTGACCGCTGTTCATGCTGGCTCTGACGCCTTCCCAAGCGGACGGCTCCGAAAAGAGCCGCCATCGGCGCGCCGTCCCACCGGAAGTTCCTCGAGGAAATTAATTTATTGATACCGTTTGTATTGCTTTCATTCTTTCCTTTGCTCACTCCTCTCAGATTAAAGTCAGCTTTTACTACATCTTGTAACTCCTAAATCATCCAATAGTAGAGATATAATGCTGTATATTATGTAAAGCACACAGGAACTTACTCTGCAACTATCACTACCCCTACCCTCATTCTCTTTTCTTTATGGGATTATGCTAGAGGTGAGAGTAGGACTTTCATTCCAATACTGGGTATTTCACACATAGGCATTTAGTAGTATTTTGGAAATTTGAGGAAGGTGTGTCATATTTTCTCTGGGAACTTCTCCTGCTATAACAATCATCCAGATCACGGTTGTCCAAAGGTGCTTTTTCCAAATGGCAAGTGGACTTTCTTCGGGTTTTTTCCCTTGAAAATGTTTCACTTCTCATCCAAGAAGTTTCTTTAGTTCTCAGTTTTTAGAACTGAAGAAGCTTCTTGGATGAGAAGTGAAATGTTTTCAAGGAAAAAACCAAGAATGTCCAGTTGCCTTTTTGGAAAAAGTCATGGGAATTTGTGCCCATGACCGATCAGTTCCTTCAGGGAATGTTGGGATGTTCTATGCAGTATGACTACAATACTTTGGATTCTGTTATCCCAAAGGTGTTTTTCGGAAGGCAACTGGGCTTCCTTGAAGCCCAATCAAATATTTAATGCTCTGGAACCCAAGCTCAATGGTTTATACACCTCAGCATTGTTTTCTGAGGATAAGACCTCTAAAAGGCCTGGCCTTTTTTTAATGAAATAAAGTAAGATGCAAGGGGCTTCAAGATTGTCTTATGATCCAAAGAAAGTTAAAGTCCACTTGATTATTTCCAATCAGTAAATAGATGAAAGATATCAGGTTCTACATTCCTTTGTTCCATCTCCACCCAATGTCTATGGAGATTCTCATTATCCAGGTCATGGTTGTCCCAAAGATGCTTTTCCAAATGGCAACTGCACTTTCTTGGGGGGGGGGGGCTCTCCCTTGAAAATGTTTCACTTCTCATCCAAGAAGCTTCTTCATTTCTTTGTTTTTAGAACTGAAGAGGCTTCCTGGATGAGAAGCAAAATGTTTTCAGGAAAAAAAAAACTAAGAAACTCCAACTGCCCTTTGGAAAAACAAGTTTGGGATATTTTCACCCAAAATCCATGGGAGACAGAATAGGCAAAGATAGTAGCAGGTTTTGCCCCAGTTCCACCTGCGACAGGATCATCTTTTAGTATTTCTGAGAGGATTTGAGGCTGAGACTGGTAGAGGAAAGATTCCTTCAATAAAAGCCCTATTAGTTAATTATTAATGTTGCTTATTTTGATTTTGTCAATTTACTCAGATGTGATTCTAAGAGGTCTTGGTATGATTTGAAGCTTGAAAGACAAGTTAATCCTAACAATAAGTAAATAATACAATGAGAAAAAAGCTCTACTTAATGGATACTTGTAATTGTAGATATAGAAAAGATGGAGCAGATTTTGGAAGATAAATCTTAAACATAGCTAAAAGGCTTCAATTTGGAAAAAGTTGCTCTTTACTTCTTGGATATGGGTAAACTGCTGTTAGCTCTGAAGATGGTATGAATGAGAATGTTCATAAGTATTTAAAACTTGGATGATTTATTTAACCCACTTTTCTATCACTTCCTTGCCTCTTTGGTATAAATTAATTATTTTTATTTGCTTCAGGGATTTAAGGACAATGTTTACCGACAGAGAAGAAAATATTTTGTAGATGTTGCCATGAGTTATAAATAGTGAGTACTCAATATTTTTAAACTTTCAATTTTAAAGTCTTTCTCCTCAAATACAAGAAAGATACGCAGCCCTCTTTTTCTTGAATATAAAATTTGCAATAGGCAGATGGTGATCATTAAGCTGTAACTATTTATATTACCAAACTGGCATGAGGAACACAAAGTGAAGTTTACTTGGATTGAGTTTTGGAACATATCAGTATTAGTCCATCCAACTTTGTTTTGGTTCCATAAATTGGCCATCTTTTCTAGCCCAAACTGGATTGAAATTAGGATTTCTGCATGCAAAATGTAAGTACTATCTCTGAGTTCTGGAACTACAGTTCTTTTCCATTGTGCTTCTGACCATGACAGCATGCATTTACGGCAATGGCTCAAGAAACTGGACAGCTGGGTTGGATTGAACTGAAATAGTTATTCATGATATGAGTAACAGTAGACCAATTGACTTGATCATTATATCTAAGGATTAAAAGAGATAGAGGTATCTGGAGCAAATGCAGCTTTCATTAGAATGCTGATGCAGGTAATCCTTGTTCAGTGACTGTCTTATTCAGTAGCCATTCAAAATCACAATGAAAAATACCTTTGTGGCCAATGTCTGCATTTACGTTTGCAGGCCTGTAAAGTAAAGGAAATATGATGTAAAATTAGAAGTATAGTCACTGTTTCATTTAGCAACAGCTTTGCTTAATGACCAAGTTGCCAGCCAATTGTGGTCACTAAATAAGGACTACCTGAACATGTGTTATGATGTCATAATGCAAGGTTCATCACAAGGAGCCAAATTTGTATTATGATATGGTGATACATGCTTTGTCACTTGCCCTCTGTGCCTCCTCAGAGATGCCTATAAAAGGGGACTCTGATTCTTTGTTCAATAGATAGAAAAGTTGTAATGGGTGGGTTCGCATTCTCCAGGGAGAGTTTAGCTGCATATGAAGGTTCATGTCTGCTAGTCATCCCTTTTCTGAACAGAGCAGAGCACTAGCTATTGAGAGAGGGTGGACTGCCTCTTGCTTTTCCTTATATGAGTAGGTGAATTAATTAATTATTTTTTCTCTTTGATATAGCTGTCCATCTCACACATGGGGCTCATTTGCTTGGTGGTAAGGCATGTTTCCCGTTCTTTGGGTGCTTGAGTCCCAAGAAAAATAGCTATAATTGTGCTTTTCCCAGTTTGGATCTCTTGCAGACCTATAGACATTAGCTATTAAGTTCCCCAACTACTATGGCAATTGCTGAAAACAGTTGTGTGTCAGAAAACATTCTGGAAATTGAAGCATAGTTTTGAAAAGGGGGTTGGATTGGGGAGACTGACTATATGTTTTGAGAAGACAGATCTTGTCAAGCACTTCTTTACATTTATGGTCTCCCAAAGGCTTTTTCTTCGTGCCATATGCTCTGCCATCAGATTGATGGGCTCCTAGGAAAGGATTTATATAAGATGTGCTTGCTTGCTTCCTTATTTATTTACATATATTTCCTATAATAATTTCCCCACTAGCAATGTACAGCAGTTTTTAGAGTCATCCAACCTTTTCTTGTGCCAAAACAGCAGTAATGAAGACAGGCACTATATCACATCAATAATGGCTAGGCGGATGGTATGAAAATACTATAAGTCATCAGTGAGGAAATGGTATGCATTTATATACATTGCCAGTAGCAATAAATGACTAAAAAAAACCCAAAAAGCAAAATATAATATTAAAAAAGAATGATCATAAAACTCTAAGTGGCAGCATGGAATTGCAGTAAGGAAAGAAAAATAAAACACAGGAAAACATAAACCCTGGGAATGCTTTCAGGGAATTTATCTAAGCCTATGGATATGTCAGTGGTGGCACTCGGAGCCCTCTGTGTGGGCACACGTGCCATTGCCCCAGCCTTGCCTCCCCCATGACCCCCTCCTCTCCAGCAGCCCCCCTGAAGGAGAGTCACCCTTGAGCGTGGCCCACGCGGAGTAGTGCAGCCAAGGACATGGCAGCCAGGCAGCGTAACAAGACTCTGCCCTCACACCCCATCGTGCACAATTGATGCTGCAGGGTATGGGCAGAGGGCGTGACCGCCATAGCGCTGCTGGGCTGCCTGGCGATCTGCAGCAGGCCCTGGAGGCGGTGAGTGGCCCTGCGGGCAGGCGGGGCAGAGGATGGGGGGGGGGGGGAGCGGGGGCAGGGCAGGGGGTGGAGCGGGAACGGGGCTAGTTTTTGGGCACTCGGTCTCTAAAAGGTTCGCCGTCACTGGGATATGTTGTGATTGGCTGCATAGTTATCAGATAGATATTCCACCCATCACAATGCTATGAGTGGAACAGGAGAAATTGGGAGCACTGTTTTAATTGGTATATTTTAACATGTGTCATGTGCAAATTAAGCTGTCATAAGTGTCACAGACAGCTCTGAGGAAATGGAGGATTGAGACCAGGAATTGCTAAACTTTTGATTTTTTAGACACCCTGATATATCACTATCCAAATGTCTGTTAAACCATTTGCCATTTGGGGCATGCTTAAGAGTAGTCTCTATGCTGGACTTCTTTGCAATGATTTAGCAGTGATATTCTTACTGCCCCACCCAGTTCTGATCTTCCTGTCACATACTGATTACTCTTCCACTGCATATGTGTTGATCTTCATAGCACCTTCCTTCCCTCCTTCCTATTACTCCATTCCTTGATCTTTCTACTGCTTATCTGTCAACTTTTGAAATATTTTTCCATCTCTCTCTCATCAGACTGCCAAGCCACCATCTTTATCCACAATCCGTTTATGTAATATAATATATTGATTAAAAAAGTATCAACTGCCCATGATCCATCATGCACACATATTTTGGAAGCATGGTTTACATTATAAGCTCTTTTCTGGCCCTATTGCGGGCCTTGTTTTGGATTCAAATGGGGAAATGTAGCCTTCTATTTCAGTGATGTATTTCCAATACTAAGTCTGTATTAGGTAAGCAGACCCACTTAAGGTCTGAGCTGACATAGTGATCTTACTCCATTTTCAATATATACTGAGCTTCAACTATATTCAGTCAATGAAATTTAGGCCAAATTTTAAAGGGCTCCAATAAAATGAAACTCAGTATAGGATTATATATTTGCAGTGCAATGTATGTAAATTTACTCCCAGGCCAATCCATCTGAGTTCAATTTGGCCTTCTCTCACCAAAGAAAGTATGCATAGTAGGCTTTCCAACTTAATCTATATGCAATAATATCAATTCCTTAATATCTTTAATATGTATGGAGCTTTTTCTCATAAAATTCTGTAATTCGTATGTGTCATTTATTCATTCATTCTTTCGTTCATAGTAGATCAGGCCCACGGATTGAATTCATTATTATTCCCAGGAGCTGGTAAATTTCCAGCACAACCTACCAATACCTGCTGTTTTGCAATTTTCTTGTCAAGTTTTCAAGTCAGCCTAATTCCAATTGTGTTCTCATTTTACTTGTAATGGGCCAAACTTCACACTTCAGAGCAGGCACTCTCTAATTCTATGTACTCTTCAATTTGATGGTTCCTTTTTCAATTCTGAATCCTTTCTTTCTTTCTCCAACTCCTTTGTGGGTTCAGTTTACTCCTGAATATTATAAGCAAAGAAATGGAAAGTGAGAAATATTTCTTTTTGTTGCAGACAGGAAAAGAGCATGCCCAAAAGCTCATAAAATATTTATTTTATGGACATATATTAAATGAATAAAGATGAACAAAAGAAAAGGAAGGAAATTTGTATTTTATAAACAGAGCTGATCTTCCCTCTATATCAGTGATGACGAACCTTTTAGAGACCGAGTGCCCAAACTGCAACCCAAAACCCACTTATGCCGGGTGGGTGTGGCCCATTGGCTGGATGTGACCAATGGGTGGGCATGGCCCACTGGGTGGGCGTGGCTGCGGTGGTAACGGCAGACTGGGTGGGACTAAAAAGTTCAATCAATCAATTCCAACTTTGCAAGATCTTTTTTTTTCCCACGAGAAGTTGAAATTGACTGATTGAACCTTTTTTTTTTTTGCACACAGCGATGGAAGTCTAACGCGAAAAGGTTTTATAAAACCCAGCTGAAGGCTTAGGACTGGGGTGACGACGTGCGTGCCCACAAAGAGGGCTCTGAGTGCCGCCTCTGGCACCCGTGTCATAGGTTCGCCACCACTGCTCTACATAAACTACCACTGCCTTATTAGCATTTAATAAGGATCTCCTAAATACAATACTTTAGTGCATAAACTCCTGGATTTGGTTTAGGAACACTTAACTAGTTTCAGGCTGGGCTGACCTATTTTTTTTCTCTTCTGATTACCTGTTCTTCCAGTTTTTCTACATTTAATGTAAGAAAATAGGAAATGTTTAAATATGTGTACAATTTGGCTTATTTAACACATGCTAATGTGCAGTGATGCCCCCCCAGATAGATGATTAGCACCACTCATACTGTTTTTCCCATACTGTTTTTTAAAGTTTACTTTAACTCTTTCCACCAGGACACTATTTTCTTCTGAGTGATTACTCTTACAGCACTGTACATTACTATGATCTGCTGTGAGGTTTTTTTTATTGTTCTATTGTTCCTGTGTTCTCTCCTCACCTACACGTTACCCTGTGTGTAGTTTGACAAGTAGCGAAAAACCCTCCTATCCTTTAACAAGACAGAGCGTGAATCTTCATACTTTATTAAAGAATAGAATAAGGTGAAACAGTAATGCTGAGTATGGGCTACAGATTTTGTCTTCAGAAGAACATGTGTCACAAACTAAATTGGATTCTTCTAGATGTTTCTGTTACTTCAGAACATTACAAAATGGAGTCTGGCTTCTCAGGATGTAAGAGTAGTCAGTAGGGTGAAAAGTGCTACCAAAACCAAAGTTCTAAACAGTGAAAGGTTTGACCCCGGCCACTAGATGGGGCTCAACACATGCCAGAGAACAACAGTATATACATAACTCTATGTTGGAAGCATGATATCCTGCATCTGTGATATGTTGTGCAGCATCTGTTTTAATGAAGAATCTATATACACCTTAAAACTAAATGCACGGTTAGTTAGCTTTCTAACGGAACTAAAATGGAATGTGACTAAACATATATGGGAAACGCTGAATATAGTTGAATATGTCTCTGGGAGCTAAAATTAATTTTAATAATCTCAGAGGAATGATCAGTATCATTTCATAAAGGGAGAAGCTAATGGGAAAAGGAGCTAAAGAAGCAGGAGTACATAATGAAGGAAATGTAATTGTAAACAATTCCAAGGAAGAAGAAAAATATCAGCAGAAGAAGCCAATATGCCTGCACAAAAAGCTTAGTGAAGATCTGAAACCCAAAGAGAACAGAAATATCAGAGAGGCAAGTACTTCACCAAGGAGGAGTGCAAACATGAATCAGGAAACCTCATAATTAGATGGTGAAGCAAGTGAAGAAAAAGGGACATTTAGCTATGCTCAAATAGCAAAATGACAACAAAGAAAAGGCAGAGCTATTCATCACTCATTGTGGCTTAGCATACTGCAATGCAGGTTGTTCAACCAGCTAACTGGGGAGGGAAGGATGAAGGGGCAGACTGAAGCTTGAAATTGAAAGAAAGATGGTCAAAAGGTATATGTTGAGTGTAGGGCCAAATGAATTGCATCTTGGGGAATGAAGGAAATTGCCAGGGTGGCTGAACCTTAATGTCTTCAATTTGAAAAATCAGGGAAAGCTGACAAATAACAGAATAACAGAGTTGGAAGGTACCTTGTAGGTCATCTAGTCCAACCCCCTGCTCAAGCAGGAGACCCTATACCATTTCTGACAAGTGGTTTTCTAGTCTCTTCTTGAAAGTCTCCAGTGATGAAGCACACACAACTTCTGAGGGCAAGCTGTTCCATTAGTTGATTGTTCTCACTGTCAGAAAATTTCTCCTTATTTCTAAGCTAAATCTCTCCTTGATCAGTTTCCATCCATTGTTCCTTGTCTGGCCTTTGGGTTCTTTGTAAATAGGTTGTCCTTCTCCTCTCTGTGACAGTGCCTCAAATATTGGAACACTGCTATCATGTCACCCCTGGTCCTTCTCTTCACTAGACTAGCCATGTCCAGTTCTTGCAACTGTTCTTCATATGTTTTAGCCTCCAGGTCCCTAATCATCTTTGTTGCTCTTCTCTGTACTCTTTCTAGAATCTCAACATCTTTTTATAGTGTTGTGACCAAAACTGGATACAATACTCTAGATGTGGTCTTACTTAGACTTTATAGACTGGTACTAGTGCCTCACGTGATCTTGATTCAATCCCTCTGTTAATGCAATTTAGGATTGCATTAGCTTTTTTGGTTGCCGTCACACTCTGCTGGCTCATGTTTAATTGATTGTCCACTAGGACTCCAAGATCCCTCTCACAGTTACTGCTATTAAGCCAGATTTCACCTAACATGTACATGTACTTTTGGTTTATCTTGCCTAAGTGTAAGACTTTACTTTTCTTTACACTGAATTTCATTTTGTTCAATAGGGCCCAGTGTTCAAGTCTATCAAGATCCCTCTAGATCTTGAGCCTATCATCTAGGATGTTGGCTATTCCTGTCAGCTTAGTATCATCTGCAAATTTGATAAGTTCTCCTTCTATTCCCTCATCTAAGTCATTTATGAAGATATTGAAGAATACTGGGCCTAAGATGGAACTTGTGGTACCCCACTGTTTACTTCCCTCCATGTAGATGTAGTACCATTCAGGACTACTCGTTGAGTATGGTTTGTCAGCCAGTTACAAATCCATCTGGTGGTGATGCTATCTATCCCACTTTTTTCTAGCTTACCAAGAAGTAAGCTGTAGTCTACTTTATTGAATGCCTTGCTGAAATCTAAGCATACTATGTCCACAGCATTTCGCTGGTCTACTAATTTAGTCACTTTGTCAAAGAATGAAATAAGATTGGTTTGGCATGATCTGTTTTTAACACACCCGTGCTGACTTCTAGTTATAACTTTATTTGTTTCTGAATGTTCACAGATTTTTTTAGTATCCTCTAGTAACTTTTAGAATAGAGTAGAATAGAATAGAATAGAATAGAATAGAATAGAATAGAATAGAATAGAATAGAATAGAATAGAATAGAATAGACCTTGGAGGTCTTCTAGTCCAGCCCCCCTGCTCAAGCAGGAGAACCTATATCATCTCAGACAAGTGACTCTCCTTAAAAACCTCCAGTGATGGAGCATGCATGATTTCTGAAGGCAAGCTGTTCCAGAAATCGTGGGTGCTCCATCACTGGAGGTTTTTAAGAAGAGACTGGACAGTCACTTTTCTGAGATGGTATAGGTTCCCCCAGGTATCCTGCCAGGTATTGATGTTAGGCTGATGATCTGTAGTTTCCAGTTTCTGGTTTTTTGTTTTTCCTTTTTTTGAAGATGGGAACCACATCAGCTCTTTTCCAATCCTCTGGTAGTTCCTGGTGCTCCAAGATTTTTGAAAGATATGGTACAATGGTTCTGAGATGACACCTGTCAGTTCCTTTAGAACTCTGGGATGTAATCCATCAGGTCCTGGTGATTTATATTCATCAAAATCAGACAGGTGTTCTCTTACCATTTTCCTGCTTATTTAAATTTTTATTTTTTGTCCGTCTTTTACAGTTATGTTTTTGGTAGGTTGGACTATAGTTTCTTTTTCTGTGAAAACCAATGCAAAATATGAGTTAAGCAGTTCTTCTTTCTCTCTACTGCCTGTTATTTCTTTGCCATCTTCTCTCTTTAGTATAAAGTAATAGATGATTGTCAAATGTTGTCTCTACATACAGTATTCTGTGTGGGATCCTACAATATTTTTTCCTCTTATTCATGACATAGCAAGCCTCTTTTCCAGAGACAAAGTTGTTAAATTATTGCAAGGAACTAATTAACATGTTATTTTGAAAGAATAGGAATTATTTGTTTAGCTTTTAAACTTCTATTGTGCTGATTGTGTATTAATATTTTTCTGTAAGTTTTAACATATTCAATCTATGGAGCTCCCTTTTTAATATGTTTACTATAATGTGTATATTTTATGTAGTGTGTTGATTATGTTTTAATACTTCCTTTTGCAACTTTAATAAGAGCTAGATAGCTAAATTTCCATACAGGATTCCTCCCCCACCACACATTTAGCATAATCCGGAATCCAAATTTTCACATGGAATATGATCATAAAAGCAAAATTCAAACACAAAATATGAACAATGTCATTGTTTCCAAATTGCTCACCAAAAGATATATGGGGAAGGAAAAAACACCCCTCAGCTTTTAAAAATTCCTAGCTAATGGTGGACATTATAGAATAATGAATTGTTAGATTTATTTAGTAGACAATGTTTATCAGCAATACAGCACTATCTATACCTTTTATATATTATGGCTGTCTTTCTGCTAATCATAATGGAATAATTCTGGAAGTGGTCTAGAGAAGATAGAAAATAGCCATAATTTTGTGGAACTGGAAGAAGTCTATGAATAGGTATGTGAAAATTGAATATTAAATTTTGACAGAATTGGTGGAAAGACTGGATTGGACTGATTAGTACTAACTCCTTTTGAAATAGCTATTTGGGGGATTGGTAGGGATATTGACAGTTTGGAAAATGTAATTGGACAAACTACTGTGTTCTCAGTGTTTACTTGTTCTTGATTTTTTGTTTTAGTGGTCAACCAATTCCTAGAGTAGACTATACACCTGAAGAAATAAAAACTTGGGGCGTGGTGTTCAGGGAGCTTTCAAAACTGTATCCTACTCACGCTTGTCGAGAATATTTGAAAAACTTCCCATTACTGACAAAGTACTGTGGCTATCGAGATGACAATGTCCCACAATTGGAGGATGTCTCTATGTTTCTCAAAGGTAAGCATCAAGCTTGGTTTCCAGGTAAGGAAAGTACTATAAAAGCAGTTACACAAAGCGTGTTAAAATCTAATATTTTCCCTCTCCTGATAAGTCTGTTTGGTAATTTAGACTTAGAACACTTCCATTGCACCCTTCCAATATTTATACCCCTCCAAATCTCTTACATATAGTTTGAAACAGATTTTTATTAAAGAATACCATGAACCAATCTGTCTTCCTACTTTGTGTGTATCAGATGACTTGTACATACTTTGAACACTCATGTATACATAGGAGATTGTTATGGGAAAGGCTGTAAAATATAAACATATTTCTTGAATCCTTTCTGCAAATGCTCCACTCACTGGGAGACCAGTTAACTTTTGTATTTGAAATCCCTTATGACTCGTGAAGCTGAAATGAGACCCATGCCAAAAATGTTGTAAGCAGGAATTTTAACCAACAGCTATGATCATAATGGCATGTGGTTGAACTTAAGGACTGGTAGAGTAAAAGAAGATATGTTGTAGGCCATCTATATACAAAGAAATAATACCAGGAGTGGAAAAAATGCAACTGCAGTGGGCTGGGGAAGAAAAATTAATTGTGCTGCTGTGGCCTGGAGGAAGTGGTGGACTGTGGGATATGGAGGGCAGAGACTACAGGTCTGTTCTGGAAGCATTTTTTGATTGATGTTTCATGTGCTGCAGTCAGCAAGAGTTGTTGAAACTCAGATGAAAACTAGGCTTAGATAAAGCAAATGACAAGCTTTCTACCTTTGCCTTATAGTTCTGGTCACTTTGACAGCTCATAAACACTTTATTGCCCCATGCCTTTGATAATTTTGTTTTTCTTTCTAGAGAGAATAAAGTTATTTGTGGCCCCTTTTGCAGTGATCCTGAGAGCTGGTATTTTTGATGACATATAAAATTTAATGATGGGGTTAGGTGGGAAATGAATTCCCTGTTGACATTAAAAATACAGGACAACTACAGTAAAGTACTCTGATGATAAAAAAAATTCAGAAGAACACTATTTCAATTGAAAATAAATATATAGTATTTAGTTTGAAAAACTAACTCTGCCTCCTTTCTTTATTGTACCTTTATAGCTGTCAGCCTTTAACATTAACTGGCTTGCTGTCCTTTGAGTCTTGAGAGGCATATCTTTCAATGGTGCCTTTTGTTTGATTCTTTCTGTCCCTGAGAGATGCCTTTTCCCCCCATTTGCTCAAAACTATAAAAGTATTGGAACGCTTCATAGTACTTACTCAGCCAAAGACATCAGTGAAAATTGCAGGGGAGATTAGGTGGGTGGGGAAAATAAAGCCAGGTGTCTTTTTAAAAAAGAATTTATTAATGAAATAATAAAATAGCTGAAAAAGAGTCAGCTTTAAATCACAGGAAGTGTAGAGTGGCCCAAGAAAGATAATTTTTCTAAAGGAAATGGCAGTTTAAGGAGGGGAAATTAGATTTTATATGTGATGCATTTGTAAAGAAAAAGATTACTTAGAACTTTCTGGTGAGAGGAAAATAACCAACAGGACCACCAATATATAAGGGTAAGATAGCAGCCACTTCAGACAGTATATGTTAGGAGGCTGTAGCAATTTCTTGTAATAGACAATGTACTACATGCTTTTTCTTCATCCAATAGGCTTTCCAGCTGCCTTCAGAAATGGTGGAGACTTACTGTCAGAACTCATTTCTGTATTGGGGGGTTGGTTCTGTTCCTTTTGGGTTCTTTCTGTGAGTTATGTCATTCTCCTGGGGGGAGGGGGGAGGCTCCCGAGAATGCATCATTTCTCCTTTTGCTTAGTTACAATGTATCCTCTCTGCCTGTCCTATCTGCTTGCTCTTTGAACTGTTTCCCCTTGATGTCAACTTGGGGTGAGAAAGGAATGTGCCTCCAGCCATCTGGCTTATCTCTCGCTGTGGAAGAGAAAAGTGTGAAGACTCAACAATATCTTCACAGGCATGGGAACAGACTCTGCTATCAGCTCCGTTCCCACAACAGACCCAACACCTAGGGATTGGCTCGTTTGAACTGACAGAATGAACTATGGGGTTGGGGTTTGCTTGATGCTCTTTTAACCTATTGATCTGAGCGGGAAACCCTCAGGTCCTGCCTTCTTTGCCTGCTGTCAACTTCTCTTAATAAAAGTTTCTTTTGGAATGGAATTGTTCCAAGAGTCCTGCTTTCTTGGGATGAGGTTTTGAAGTGGGTCTTTATATTACTGGCAATTTTCTTTGGAAAAAAAAACATTTAGCCCAGTCAGTTCTTGTTCATGAATTAGGAAGAAATCAAATTGTTTTTTTGTTTCAGGCAGCAAAACGTCACAGCCATTCCAGACAACTACATTTTAACTTAAATATAGTTTTTCGACCGTCAATCACAATTGTAAAAAGATTGTATACAGCCTATTATATCTCAGTAAAGATTTTTTTAAATGATTTTACATATATTTGTATTTTACATGCAGATAGTCTGTATGCTGGAAATAGTAGAAAAAATAAAATCTTATAAATTATGGAAGATTTCATCATATGTACAGAGGATGCTCTTTCCTGAAGTAATAATGATATGACTGTTTTGGGGATGAGGAGTTAAAATCGACCTTATCAGAGGATTTAACTCATGCCCCTTTAAAAAATGTGTTCAGAACAAATTCAAAGTGTATATCTTTCATAAGGCAAATTGCATCTCTGGGATTTCAGGGGAAAAAAGCCATTATTGAGATTTCTGGAAATTAGGTACACATCTGGAGATTACTCATGTTGGATAGTTTTTGCTTAAAACAAACAGCTCTACATAATTATGGAGTTAGAAAGGACCATTTAGCCAATGAAATGTATTCCCCTGCTAAGTACAGGAATTCAAATTAAGATTTCTACAAAAGATGGTTTCCAATTTCTACATGAACAAATCCAGTGAAGGGAAGCCCATTGCTATTCTTGGTAATTTATTTCATTGTCAAACCTTTCTTACTGTTAGGAATTTTTTCTACCATTCAATGGGATCCATTATTCTATGGGACAAACAATGGGACAAACAATGACCTATATGACAATCTTATAATTTGTAATCTGCCATTTTCACCTTCTAGGGTGATAGATGGCATAGAAATTTAATAAACAAACAAACAAACAAATAATAAATCTTACAAATTGCTATGGTATTCCATTAAGTTTTCTCTTCTAGTGGCTAAACAGTCCAATTTTTTAAAATCTTTCATCTTAGTTAGTTGATAGTTCCTGATCATCTTCATTGGTCTTCTGTTCCAACTCATCTTAAAACATATATTCTAAAACAGGATGCAATTCTTAAAATGTGATCTGAGCAATACAGATTAAGATGGAATAATGATTTCCCATGTTTGGAAATACTATTTCTGTAGATACACCTTAAAATTGAATTTGACTTTTTTTCAGACCTATCACAATGCTGAATCATATTCAGTTTGTAATTAATTACTATTCCAAGATCTTTTTCACAAGTATTATTATCATCCTCTATTATGCATTGGATTTCTGTTTTCTAAATGAAAACCTTTCATTTCTGTCTTCTAAATTTTATCCTGTTGCCTTGAAACCGTTTTTATCTCCTATCAAGATAATCTCCTAGGTATTAAAACTCCAATCAAATTTTGACATCTGCACATTTGATAAGCTTCACTAAATGCTTGCTAATTACAATGTCATGGGGCGCTTTGTCAAATGCTTTGCAGAAAAAATTCTCATAATCAATTAAAGAAGTTACCTAGTCAAAAGAATAAGATAAGGTTAAGGCAAGGTTTGTTCTTGACAAACTCATACTGACTTCTGCTAATTGTTTTCAAGGTGTTTAAATTATCTTTAAGGTACTTACAGATTGATTTCTTTATGAACTGCCCTAGAATTTTCCCAGCATTGATATCAGCCTTATTGATCTATAATTTGCTGAATCTTTCTTTTTCTTTCTTTTGAATATATGGAAAAGCATTTTAATATTTTTATATAGACCAGGGGTGTCAAACTGCCAGCCCACGGGCTAGACGTGTCACGGCGAAACCGTGCCCACCCCATTGCCGGCAATGAGGAAAAAGTTCCGATACATCACATGACGTCGCGAGTTTGACATGTCTGATATAGAAGCATCTACAGCAACCTGAAATGTTATGTAAATGATGAAATGTGCATAATAATAATGTTCTGTGAAATTTCTCCTTTATGTACTTGTATGCAATGTCATGATGCAAGTACAAAAGGGGCAGAATTTATACCATAACACTAAAACACCATTCATCATTTCATAGCACTTATCTGTTGTCCAGGATTTTACAATGATGATACACAAGACTTTCAGCAAATTCCTATGATGCAATTCATCAGGGCTGGGTTATCTAAACTCTTAAGTGGTAAAGTAGTATTAACCTTACATGTTTCTATTAGTCTTGAATAAGATATTGGACTAGAAGATCCCCAAAGTCCCTCCAACCTATCAATCTATGATTCAACCTTCAGTCCTGCTCATTCATTGTTCTTTATAATTTCTTTCTTTATTTCTTTTGCTGGAGAAGCTAGAACTAAAATTTGACTTGAGTAGTTTGCTATTTATTTCTTACTTCTTTTAGGCCAGTTTGCCATATTACTGAGTAGCTGGCAAATTAATTTCTTTTTGTTTTGAGCATAACTAGAGAAAGTATGTTGTTTTTGTTAATATCCTTTACCAATCTCAGTTATTCTAAGGTTTCATTTCCTGACTCTAGCTGTACAGTTTTTGCATCATCATCATCATCATCATCATCATCATCATCATCATCATCATCATCATCATCATCATCATCATCATTATCATCATCACCACCACCACCACCACCATCATCATCATCATAGAGTTGGAAGGGACCTTGGAGATCTTCTAGTCCAGGCCACTGCTCAGGCAGGAAACCCTATACCATTTCAGAAAAATGGTTGTCCAGTCTCTTCTTAAAAACTTCCAGTGTTGGAGAATTCACAACTTCTGGAGGCAGGTTGTTCCACTGATTAATTGTTCTAACTGTCAGAAAACCTCTCCTTAGTTCTAGGTTGCTTCTCTCTTTGATTAGTTTCCATCTATTGCTTCTTGTCCTGCCTTCAGGTGCTTTGGAGAATAATTTGACTCCCTATTCTTTGTGGCAACAGTGCTGTCATGTCACCCCTAGTCCTTCTCTTCATTAAACTAGACATATTTAATTCCAGCAACTGTTCTTTATTTGTTTTAGCCTCCAGTCCCCTAATCATCTTTGTTGCTCTTCTCTGTGCTCTTTCTAGAGTCTCAACATCTCTTTTACATTGTGGTGACCAAAACTGGATGCAGTATTCCAAGTGTGGCCTTACAAAGGCATTGTAAAGTGGTATTAACACTTCACGTGATCTTGAGTCTATCCCTCTGTTAATGCAGCCTAGCACTGTGTTGGCTTTTTTGGCAGCTGCAGCACACTGCTGGCTTATATTTAAGTGATTATCCACTAGGACTCCGAGATCCCTCTCACAGTATCTGTCCTTATTCTTCCTTTATAACCTGATTTTATTTATATTTCCAGGATTTAGGTAGATGATAGATAGATAGATAGATAGATAGATAGATAGATAGATAGATAGATAGATAGATAGATAGATAGATAGAAATAGATAGAGAGATAATGATTTTTACCAACATTTTTATTTAGCCATATTGGCTTCTGCTATCTTCCATTTTGTCCTAATTAGAATTGCTTGGAGTTAGGCTTCTAGTATCTCCCTTCTTATGAATTCCATCTTGAACTCATTAGTTTGTCCTCCCATGGAATCTTACTTATTGTTCCTTTGAATTTATTAAATCCTCATGTTTGAATCCCAAGTTTTGATTAACTCAGTTTTAGTCTCCCTATCGTTCAAATCATAACTGATCCTCTTATACCTTTCTTTATTCTCTACCTGATAAGGACACAGCTGGCAGCATGGCAAAGCAGGAATGTCTTAAAAGATCTAGGCTTATAACATTTGGCTCCCAATAGATGTTGGAATAATTTAAGTTTCTTAAACTTCACGTGTCTTTGAAAAATCTGCAGTTTCATTTTGAATGGCATTATCCACATCATCTGCTTAGTTGGGTGGGAAATAGTAGGCATCAACAACATGTTTATTTTTATTGCTTCATTCACTTACTTTAATTCAGATGATCTCTAGCATTGGAAAATTCATTCATATGGAAATCTGAGCAGAGGTGGATATGTTTAACATAATCTCCTTTTCTTGCCTGTGTTCCTTTAGAACAAATGGTATGACAAATGGCATTGCTATATTCCCATCCTGGATGTCCCCTGTCTCATGTCTCTATTAGAGTATATTTGCTCTTCTGTGCTAAGTTTAAGTTCATTTTCTTTCTTTCCTTTACTTTATGCCAGTGACCCTCATAGTTTCTCTACCAGTAAGCTCCAGAGTTAAATAAGCTCTGTTTTGTAAACATTGCAGTCTTATTTACTGCTCAAAGATAAGTCCCATCTCTCTGCTGAATAGCAGCCTATGTAGCATATCATGATGCTAATAATGAACAATTATTTTAAAATAAATCTGGCAAGAGTTACTTGTATCAATCAATTAGAATATGCAAACATACATAATGAAATACAGTAATGCTGATTTGTCTTCTACTTCAGAAAGATCTGGTTTCACAGTCAGACCAGTGGCTGGATATTTGTCTCCTCGTGATTTCTTAGCTGGTCTGGCCTACCGAGTTTTCCACTGTACCCAGTACATACGCCATGGTTCGGATCCCCTTTATACTCCGGAACCGTGAGTATCATTTGTGATAAGCCATTACTGCAATTAGGGCTTACCTTTCCTCATACAAACTGAGGTGGCACCCAGGGCCACAACATCTCCTCTATCTTCATAATAATTTGGCAAAAGTAGATTCAACTGAGAGCGACTGGCTTAATGTTTTGAGTAAGGGTTTCATTCTATGTCTTTTTAGTCTTACTTCAATACTCTGGCTTAATTTTTCCAGAGCCACTGAAAGTCGGGTGGCATAGTAATAATAATTACAGTTATGATGATAGATGGCAATATGATAATTGGCAATAATTACAGTTATGGTAGTT